AACCCTAAACCCCTAAACCCTAAACCCTAAACCGCTAACCCCTAAACCCCTAAACCCCTAAACCCTAAACCATCCTGCAAGCCAGGACTCCCTTGAGTCCTCCAGGGCTTTCGAGAAGGCCTTGAAGGAAATCGAGCGCGAAAACAGAAACCTGACCCGGTTTAAGGGTTCAGGGTTTAGGGTCAAGGGTTTAAGGGTGAAGGATTTAGGGTTTAGGGTTTTAGGGTTTGGGGTTTAGGGTGCATTTGGGCAGTAATCCATTCATGGGGATGCATTGCTAACTACTTGGTACCCACAAAACTGTAATCCTGAAGAAATAGTTTTTGACTTTGCTAACTCCAGGAGCTTTTAAAATGTTCGTACTATTTTGGATCTAGGGGGATTACAGAAACACCCCTCATCAAGAGTATACACTGTATACACCTGCGCGGAGTATACACTGTATACACCTGCGCGGGATGTCAAGAAAAGTAGTATCGGACGGGATCCGGGTTCCGTTCCTACATGTCCAACACAGGGTTTAGGGGTATATGAGTTTCCCCCAGGGCTAGGAGGAGTAATTTAGGCAACCCTCCCCACAGCCCCAAAGCTTCAACCGTTCTTGTAATCCGTCCTTGTGATCAAGGACGTCTTTCTGGCCTCAGAGCTCGACGCCTACTGCTGCTCATTGATGAGGCAGGCCTTCCCCCATGTGTCAGAATGGAGAAAGACAACTGTGTCGCGAGATTATAGATTCTATGTCCTTCTGCCCAAGCCATGGCTTGCATCCCCTCAGAGCAAGATGTAAAACCCATGCTTTTCCAGAATTGCAGCTGGAAAATCTGCATGGCTGCAGGAGGCTCAAGTGATTCTTGAGATAGGATCCTTTGGTCATGTCGGCATCGCTCCGCTTCGTCCTCTTGGGGGCTTCAGCCCTCACGGCCCTTGGCCAGCAGTGTGACTGCAACCAATGCTCCAACATCCCAGCAGATGATTGGACGTCGCCATGCTTTGAGAACTGCACCATTACAGGGGATCCCCACGTGGAGCACAGTTGGCGGGTGGGCTACGAAGATGGCTTCGACTTCCAGCCTCAGGGAATTTGGCGTTTGGCCAAGACGGAGACCTGCGGCGGCACGGTGGAGGTGCAGGCATTCTTCTGCCAGTACTTCTTCACACGCTTGAGCTCGGCCATTGCCTATGCCATCACGATCAACGGCGGGGACAAGTACATCGTGAAGAGAGTGGGTGAGGAATACGTGATTGGAAGCCCGAATGTTGAGAGTGCTACGCTGAAGATCCTGAAGACGCCTGAGATCGACCCTGCAGCCGGCGTGATCATCGTCAGCGATGACAGCTGCGTGCGCATCAAGATCAACAGTCAGCCTTTGTACGGAGGAGAGAGGAACTTGGCGTTGACCCCGAATGCCTACTACAACAACATTGTAATCAAGATTTGGGGTTGCGCAATCACGCAAGAAGGCATCTGCGGTGCTCAGAAGCTTTCCACCCAGTACATTGATCCTCAGAGTGAGGACAACCTCTTCACCACCCCTGAGGAGCCTGACCTTTGGGAGGATCTCTGTGAGTTCCTGGGTTGCTGTTATGGGATGCAAATTAAGTTACCATAGTATGGGCATATAGATAATAGACTTTCCCCAATATAGTAACTTAAACTAAGTTCCTTAACAGCAGCCCAGGAAAGAGCAGTAAATAATGGGTTTCCTTATTATAGTAATTTGAATTTTAGTTCCTCAGCAGCCACCCAGGTTCTGCCAAGAGGATGGGGCTGCCCTGACTCCGCCCGGCTGCCCCGCACCCCCAGGTGGCACAGTTGCTGGGTTGCTGTTGAGGAACTTAGATTAAGTTACCATAATGGATATATATATATATATAGTAAATAATAGGGTTTCCCCAATATAGTAACTTAATTTAAGTTCCTGAACAGCAACCCAGGTTGTACAGCCAGGCTGCGAGTTTCTAAGGCCTTTTGGCAGCCCGAGGGACAGGGAGTGCATTCCGGATGAGACCAGCACGGACCCAGATGTGATTGCCAACAACGAGCGCATCAAAGCTCTTGCGAACGACGGTGAGAACTGCGTTGTCTTTGCCAACCTGAACACGCCCAAGTTCCCTAGAAGGAGTTGCCGCGACTGGTGCCAGGACCGCGGTGCCCGTTGCGTGGCCGTGCGTGATGACCCCTTTGCCGGCCGATTCCCAAATGACCAGTCCGTGTGCAACCTCACGGACGCCACTGACCCGGTCAACTTCGTTGAGGGTGAGCCCAAGACGTGCGACACCCGTCTGCGGGATACCCACTGCGTCTGCCAGAAGCCAGACAACAATGCGCCGGGCGAGACAGCAGAACTTACCTGCCGCGATGCCGTGGACCTTTCTGGCTTCAACTTCTCCTTCCTGGATGCTGCTGACATCTGCCGCCAGGAGGCGGTGTGGCTGCAAGAAGTGACCTACCCCCAGAATGGCGAGCAAACGACCTTTGCACAGAGATTGCTGGTGTACTGTGTTCAAGATGTTTGCGCGACTGATCCTGAAGATCGGCCAGAGGTCGCTCGAAGCTATGGCGATCGAGATCCAAGCTTCCCCCCAAACAAGCCCAACGTTTGCAACGGCCCCTTGCTCTGCAATCTCATTTGCACTGCTGGCCTGGTTCAGCCCTACAGCACGTGCATGGACGTGTGTTCCGGCCACCGATCTATGCTCATTCATGCCACAGGGCGGTACTGCAAGGCAGGGCTTTGCCCCAGCTTGCTGGAGGAGACGGAGATAATGGGCCTTTTGCAGACCCGGCGCTCTGAGAACAAGAGCTCAGTCCTGGAGATTGCGGACTCCGAGTCGCGCAGGTCTACAAGCTCCCGGTCGCGGAGGTACACGCCGCCTAGCTCCCGTTCTCGAAGGAGCACTAGCTCTCGAAGGTCCATGTGGTCTTCTCGCAGCCGAAGGTCAACCTCCTCAAGAAGTCGACGCTCAAGCCACTCAAGCCCAAGCTGGTCTCGAAGGTCCAGCTCTTCGCGAAGGTCCAGCTCCTCTCGAAGGTCCACTTCTTCTCGCAGGTCCACTTCTTCTCGAAGGTCCACTTCTTCTCGAAGGTCCACTTCTTCTCGAAGGTCAACCTCGCGAAGGGTGATCGTCAAGCCCCGCGATGATGCTGACGGCGGCCGCCGTCGAATTGTCAAGCCTGATGACGACATTGTCAACCGTCGCCGAATCGTCAAGGGCGATGATGATGATGACGGGGGAAGCCGACGCCGCATCTTCCCAAAAGATGATGACAAAAAGGATGACGACAGGTTCGATGATGACGATAAGCCAAAGTGCGTGGATCAGAACACAATGTGCAACAAGATCTGCTACGGGTTCAAGCTGGAAAAGGCAGAGCTGTACTGGTGCCTGCACAAGTGCCACTCGAAGTTTGTCCACAAGATCAAGCCTGGATTGGATAATTACTGCACGGAGTGTGGAAAGTACTGCGGGCTTCCTCCGCCTGCCACTACCACGACCACGACTCCCGGTCTCCCTCCAGTTGATCCAACCTGCCCGTTCTTTACCACAACTACAACCCCGTTCATTTATACAACCACGAAGCACCCCAAGGGTGACGATGACGACGGTGGCCGTCGCCGCCGAATCTCTCAGGGTGATGATGATGATGGTGGCCGACGCCGCCGCATGTCCCAGGGTGACGACGACGAGGGCAGTCGCCGCAGAATCTCCAAGGGCGATGATGACAATGATGGCGGCCGCCGTCGCCTGTTTCAGAAGAGGTAATTGAGCAGGTGGTAGGTAGGACTCTCGCATGCTGACACTTGCAAAAAGCGCAGCTGTCACATGCGAGCATGCACTCAACAAGAATTACTCGAGCCCACATGCAAAGACTCTTTCGTGGGGGCTTTGTAACTATATTTTACATTCTTGGTCTTGAGCAGTAGCTGCTTCGATAATAGAGGAGTAGGAAGAGTACTCAGAGATACTTATGCGAACATCTTCGGGCAGTTGCTTTTCAAGCAAGGTCGCATGTGTCAGCCGAGTGCTAGTAACATGCTGACCAAGTTCCGATTTTGGTGTTTTCAAGCTTTCCCCATCTTGGCACCCCTGGGTGCATCCCGCTTGAAGTTGACTCGGCAATGCAGCAGCCGCAAAGTGGCTGCAACCGAAATTGAGTCTGCGGCTCCGAAACGATCAAAGAAGCTTTGCCAGATGTACGTCGGGTATTGCCCCCTCTCAGTAACAGTTGGCTAACTATTATGACTCAATTATGACATAGCTATATATACTGTAGCCCATAATATTCCCCTATTATAGCTTACTGGGTGGGGACAGTACCCAAGATGTGCCTCCTCCAAAGCATGATTGAAATGCTGCCACAAGAACAAAATCCTAAACTGGGTTATTGGTAGAAGCACCTTCGCTGAAAGGATGGTGATGGTGAGCTGAACTCATCCGACTTGCAAAAGGCCTTAGACAACGAGGCCTGGACCCTTCAATTTAGGGCTGAAGAGTTTAGGGTTGACGGAGATAATATTCATAGGATAGCTATATAGAAACCTCCATTTAGCCCCTATTCTAGACTGTTAATGGGTGGGGGCAGGACCCAACCTGTACACTTCAAGATCGTTTCCTTGATGATCTTGAGCGGGCGCCTTAAGTGAGTGTTTGTTGCACAAGGATGTGCACCTTCACAATCGGTAGGTCTTGTAGTGTTTGGTGTTAAAGTGGATCGCCGAATTGTGGACAACGACTCTCTGGAGTTTGGAGGTCTAGTTCGGGTTTGGCGTGTGAACAGTGCATCGCGCAGCATGCCTGCTGTTTGGAGTCTTTTGGATACAGAGTTTACTTTAGAAACTTTAGAATGTCTGCAGAACACATGGTAGTTCCATAAATAGTGCTCACCCAATAGACCCCAATATAGTACACGCCTTCTTATGAGCCCATGTTTTGGAAACCACCATGTGCCTGGGAGCTGTCCCCACCTTTGTGCATACTTGTCCAGAGTCCAGCATTTCGGGTGATTTGGCTTTTGCTGCAAGTGTTTCAGGTTGGCATATCTATACAAGGAGGTTCTGTGGTAGATTTGTGTAACGTGCGCGTGCCTTCTTCGAGACGTCTTATGGGTATCACACATTTCTGCGGAGATGTATAGAGGCTGAGTTGGGACCTCTTCTGCAAAGCTTCGGGAGTGGGTAACGATGTCAGTAACGGTCAGTTTGTGGATCCATCCCGGGGTCCCCCACTGCTGTTTTCCTGGTGATTAAGAGTGAGCATGGAAGAGAATATCTGCATATATATATATATACACATGTAGATATATGAGCTGTTCTAGGGGGGTTGTGTTGTGATTATTGTGGGGGAGCCATTCCCCTACTGTCCCTTAAACGCTGTGGAGCTGTTGTAGTTGTCGAGGAGTTTGTGGAGATCCTCAGACTCCTGGAGGCGGGAGGGTTTCCGGTTTAGGGGTGATACATATATATATATATGTGTACATATGGGTTATATAAGGAATAATGGAAGAGAAAATGGAAACTACTACAGGGTTTAGGCTTTAGGGTTTGGGGCGGAAAAGCATCATGCTGGCATCATTGCCATCCTGCAGACGCGGCTATCTGCAATTTGACTAGTGTGGAATGCAGAATAAATCGTAGTATTATCGCTTCATCGTCTCCATCTAACTATGTATCCCAAAGCCCTATTCAATATTCCAACTAAGTATTTCGCCCTGTCAACAGGCGCTCAGACCCCGTTCGGAAGCAGCAGATGTTCATGTTCGAGTGCATATTAGTTCCCAAGCATCCACGCCAGAACCGCGATAACGTTCATTCCTGAGAGCACACACTTCCCAGAGCATATCTGCCCAAAGCATCATGACGTTCATGCTCGAGCAGAGCATCCAGGCCCAAACCACGATGACATTCATGTTCAAGTGCATCCGGTTCCCGGTGCATCCATGCCCAAAGCATCACGACTTCATGTTCGAGTGCATCCATCCGATCACCAGAGCATCCACTCTCAAACCATGATAACGATCACGTTTGAGTGTATGCGCTTCCCACAGCGACCATTCGCAGACCATAATGATGTTCCTTCTCCAGCGAATCCGATCATCAGAGCACCCGTGCCCAAACCCTAAGAACGTTCATTTCCTAGAGCATGCGCTTCCCAGAGTATCCGTGCCCAAGCCATAATGACCATGATGCTCAAGTGCATCTCATCACATGCCCAGGCCTGCTTCCGATTACCAAAGCATCCATGCTGGAACCCTGGTAACATTCATTCCCCAGAGCATACTATCGACTACCAGAGCATCCATGACTCATGACCGAACCAGAAAAGAGTTCATTCTCGAGAGCGTACGGTTTTCCGGCTGTTACTGTCAGTCGAAAGGATTCTGCGCGTCATTGCTTTCCTAAAAAGAGCATAAAACAACGGGCAAGTGCGCGCGACGACAGGCCTGAGGCTGTGCATGTGCGCGACATGCAAATCCAGTGTGCAGGCCAGCATTTTGAGCATGAAAGTTTGCCTTCAGACGCTGCCCAAGTGCCTATTTGGACTGGCACCGTGCACTTTCTCACACCCCTCATTTGCAGCCTGTCGAAGAGAACCCGACCAAGAACGCTTTTGCGATGCGAGGGTGAGCGAAATGCGTAATTGATGCTATGCCAAGCCTCAGGCAGCACCTCCGCTTCTGACCTGAAATTCATTGCGCTTTTTTAATCAAAAGTAGCATGTCAGTAGAACCCGCCGAAACTTTCGTCTCCCGCCAAGTGCCTGAATTCCTGCGCCTGCCAGCATTTTCTACACTTCCAGAAGCATCTAGAAATCCTGGTTTTTCAAAGGCTGTTGCGCCTGTTCTCCACTCCACGGTGCGAATTATATTGCACTCTGCATTAAATCCACCAAGAATCATGAAAAACAAGTTTCCATGTGATGTTCTATGTTCTTTTTCATTTGGTTCTCCATACTATTTCTGGGTGTGGGCTACTTGAAGGCTTTCTTAGTAAGCCAGTCTCTACATGGCATTATAAGTCCTTAATTTGGGTTGACCTACTCGTAGTCCCCTTTGTAACCTACAAGTTATGGTCAAGTCCCATACTGAACCCTAAGCCCCGAATCCCAGCGTATCTTGTATAGCCCCTAAGATCCAATATAAAAGGCAAGTAGGTATGCCTAGGGATTATGTAGGGGTCGTATATAGATATTGTATAGGGATAAGATGGATTATTCAGCAATCTCAGGCAAGCAGCTCAACTGCTCAAAACCTGGGCCTGAAACCCCGATAGGTGCCTGTGATGAATGCCGAGAATTTGATGCGGCTTTTTGACCGCGTGGGGCGTGGCTTGTCGCCGTGGTTTAGGGTCTAAGGATTAGGGTTTAGGTTGGGTCATTCCCCCTCCCAGTAACTGTCCTTAAAGGGGCCTTATTAAGGGGGCTCTTATAACTCCTATAACCCATTGTGGCAACAGTTACTGTAAGGGGGAATGACCCAAGGTTTAGGGTTTAGGGGATCCTCAGAATTTCTGAGGGCTTCTGTCCTCTCCGCAGCATTTTGCTGAGTCGATGCTTGAACCTCCTGAGGCGGGCACGTGAGCTTCGGGGAGCTGCCTACTTGCACAATGTAGGGATAATGGAAAAGAAGAGGGAAACTACTACATTAAAGTGGGGTAAACATTGAGGTTGTAGTATGGAATCAGGGAATATAGTATGGTTCAGTGCCAGGACAGCCAGAGTTGATCGTCATTCAAGAGTCGGGTCAAAACGAGGGATCCATACCTCACACTTGCAAAGACCTAGTAGCCTCCGCTTGACTGCACGTAGCCAAGGTTGGTCGAAGGCATCACGTCCATGCTCGAGGACTGAACCCTAAACCCTAGACCCTAACACGGGGTGCCTGACTATACTCCATGACAGTGGTGGTGTAGGGTTTAGGGTTCAGGGTTTATCCGAATATCCAAGGAGGAACATTGCAGAGGGTTCTGCAGAGGCCCTCTGTTGAAATTGGATTCTCCAAATCCCTAAAACCCTTCACCCCAAACCCTAAATCCTGAACCCTAAACCCTAAAGCCAAAATTCGTAGCTTTTATTTTTTCCAGTGTCCCAATATACCCTAAACCCGAAACCACGCCCTGGACTGAGCCTCCAGGATATCAATCCCAAAGACTATACGAAGCTGGCGCTCTGGTCTGACAGTTTGATGAAGCACCTTTGGCCATGCACAGGGTTTGATATTGAGGATTTAGGGTTTTGGGTTCAGGGTTTAGGGAGAATGGAAAAATGGAAGCTACTATTATATACAGCGGCTATATAGGGATGACGGTCTGGTTTTTTCCGTAGATATTGGGCCAGGCCCCAGGACAGAACCCCAGAGGCTAATTGCCTTCAAGTGAGCACTTCTAAAAAGATCCTGCGTTAACGGACCCCCACCCTCCTTTGGGATAGGCGGTTGTCAATCTCAATATCTTCTCTTAACTGGAAGATTTTGGGTGCAATGCCATCCCACATGTCTTGTATGAGTGCTGACATGGCGCTCACCGCGAAAAGACCGAAGCCTAAACCCTATATAACCTCTTGATAGTAGTTTCCATTTTCTTTTTCATACCCCCCTGATTGCAACCGACCCGACTGAAGGGACACTCTCCCCTGTTCCCCTGTGGGCGATAAAGACCGGATGGGATCAGATTGGTGATGTAAGCTATAGTGCAAACCCCTCAGAGGGGGATTCTGTAGGGGGTTATATAGGGGAGTAGTATTATGGGGGTTATTCAGGGGGATTCCAGGAGTTTAGACAATAGCTCATTTTGGTCTTGGAAGGCGGATGGAAATGCTGGAGCAGCGCTGCAACTTTCTGGCAAACATGGCGGCTTGGCCCAAACCCTAGGACTCGCGTGAAGCTTTCAGGATGCGAGGCTTCATTGACTTGGGTTAGAACATGTTATAATATAGTAGAATATATCAAGATATACGATAATAGACAGTATAACATACGATAGTATGTTATATTCTACTCTTGGACTGTAGAGGAGGTCTGTGCGGCAGTAGGTCTGAGGTTCGATTAGGATGATTTAGGTGGATCCCCCCCACCCTGTAATAGTGGTATAGTAGGTTTAGGGTGTAGGGGTGGTATGGTAGGAATAAAAGATGGCCCTAATATAGTCACCATTATCCGTTATAGTCAGTATTACAGAGAGGGGTCCACGAAAGTGATCATTGCCGTGACAGGCCGTCACAGTCCGTAAGCCCTAATTTTAAATAGTAGCTCCACTTCTTTTCCATTATCCACTATATAACCCCTCCTATAACCCTAAACCCTAAGTTTTAATCCCTATGAACCCTAAACCTTAATCCGTAAAAACCTCAAACCCTAATCCCTAGACACTAGTCCCTAGACCCTGAGCACTAAAGCCTAAAGCCCAATCCCTAAACCCCTCATTAGTTTCCATTTTCTTTTCCATTATCCCTATATAAACCCTATATAACCCTAATGTAACCCCAATATAATCCCAATATAACCCCAATATCCCTCATTCCCATAAACCCTAAACCCTAGACCCTAAACCCTAAACAAACCAGTGTAACTGAAACGCCCTTAGCCATGCCTGCTCTCCAGGTCATCGACTTGAGGCGGCAGCAGCCCAGAAGCAAACCGCAGGTTCTTGTTAAGGGTTTAGGGTTTAGGGTTTAAGGTTTAGGGTTTAGGGTTTAGGGTTTAGGGTTTAGGGTGGGTTAAGGGTTTAGGGTTTGATAATATGTTATGGTACATTATAGGACAACATAGCACGTTAGCATGCATGATGGTCCAAACTATGGTGTATTCTATTATGTTTTGATTCTGGAAGGGTTTATGGTGTGTTAGTACTTACTTCATTCCCCCTGTGTATGGTTAAACACTCCCTACACCCCCAAGAAAATGCTGTTGACTCCCTATGGTACCCTTGCATCTGTGCATCCCTTGTGCTTGAGAAGCTACAATGGACCTTTCAGAGCAAGCCTCACATGAATCGCACGGCTGCATAACCGCCTCCCCGAGATGTTGAAAGCCCCACCCTAAACCCTATACCCTAAACTCTAAACCCTGACCCTCGCAATATTGTATCTTGATGCAACGGTGCGAAGGTTCATTATTTGCGGAAGGGGTGGGGTGTGGGATTTCTGATTCACATGGCTGGACTTCGAATGTCTGCCTGTCCAAGTCTTGCGGTGGTGTAGGGAACGAATGAGTCGGATATCGGGGGCGGAATAGAGATGAAATAGGGGTAGCGAATTCCGGATCCTTTCCGAAATTCCCTGCTAATCAGTACGCTGACATGCAAGGATAGAGGAATGCTTCAACTGCTTGGCACTTTTCATTGACTCACGGGTGCCTTGGCTGTACATGTGGGTTTGCCAAAATTAGGGGTACCTTTTTGGGTGTCTTTATATTAAGGAATATATTATTTGGGGGTCTACATTTGGAGTTCCGTGATTTAGGGAAACTACCATATGTCCAAGGGAGTATACTCTCAGCCGGAAGATGTCACCAGTAGTAGGGTACACAGCCTCGAGCTAGAAGACCCAACTGCCAATCTTGCGGTGGATGCTGGAGGTCGCATCACAAGGGCAAATGGCTGGGTCGCAGTTAAGGAACTTAACTTAAGGTACCATGTGGGTATATGTCAAGTTGTATCGTTCCGCCAGCCCAGATTAACAAGTTGGTTTGCAGATGCAGGATTGCATGATCCATGCCGAAAAGAGCCACGGGTTGATCCCGAAGAGAAAGTTGGACTTTCACAGTCATTAGAGCAAAACGCTTGAGGGATGGCTGCGCAATGGCCTTGCGTGAGAGATTCAGAGAGGGTGTTTTCGGCCCCATAGCAAATTGTCTCTCCAGCTTTTTGCCAAGCCAGTCTGCGTGGGTTGTTTGAGCTGCTTGTTTGCCTGGGTGTGGGTGTAGCCGTTAAGTTCGCAGTCGAACCAGTGATTGCTTGAAAGACAGACAAGTCTGAGGAAAACACTGAGCTCTACTACCGAGCTTTGAAAGCTATCCGTTCCGCACCACCTCCCGTGCCGGTTGATATTCGAGAAGCCCTGGGCCTCGAGGTCAAGAAAGAGAAGTCTCACAGCTGCACCTGTAATCTTCTGGGTTTAGGGTTTAGCGACCACCCTAAGGAATTTATACCAAAAGCATATTACAGGTCTAGGGGTATTTACAGGCCCCGGATTGAAGAGGATGGTCTTTTTGAAAGGAAGGGATTCTGAAGAACGTGCACGTGACAGTCTCCTGGAAATTAGGGATCCCTTTTTGGGGCCCCCAAAGGAGGATTATGATTATCGTATATTGGGGTCTATATTGGGGGACTCTTAGTTAGAGAAACTCATATATGCCGCCCATGCAACCGCTGCCTGTGCTCCATGTGCGACATTCCTGCTACCTGAGTAGGAAGTCTGCGGAAGCGCATGCCCTGAAACGGCTCTAAATGTCTTCGGCCACTTGAAGTTTGAAAGCAATCTGTGGAGTTCAGTACAGAGATTCGTGATGCCAGTAGGACGCAAGACGCCTTGTGAGAGAGATGTTGGGAAGTGTTTGTTTCTTGACCACGTCTCAATGTAGGTAGGGGTCCGTCTATACCACACAATACGCTCGGAACCTTGTCCTCGATGTCCACTAAAACAGGACCCACATTTTTGAGAAATCGCGTGCTGTTACACTCCACCCTATGTAGGGTAGCGCTGCGTAAACCTGAGTTTGGGCTAGTTCGGCTACATTGAAGCGCTGAACCCAAACCTTAAACTCGAAACCCCAAGTTTGGCGCTCTATATCCTGACATCCGTACAGTATCCCAATATATCCCCTTTAAAGGGCTCCCCTAAACCGTGTTGATTAGCATGGCTCCAGCTTCATTGCTGCCCGCCACATCGAAACCGCTTGGTATCACAAATCACCTAATGTTCAAAGGGTTTGTCTAGGGATATATAGGGAGATCAAGGGATTAGGCGTAAGAATTGTGGGTTTGGTTCATAGAGGCGTTTGTATAGGGTTATCCTAAGCTCTGAAGGATAAGCCCTTAGCCTTAAGGTTTCAGTAGCTTCTTGAAGTAGTAAAATCGAAGCTGACCTATTTTGATTTTGCCGTCCCACATCTTCATCAGGTGGGCTGAAAAAGCGGAGGCCTTGTTTCATGCTGCAAGCCCTAAAGCGTTTGTGCTAAAATCTTTCATGGCCTTATGGTATTCTGGTATCATGCTTTCTAAGGTTCGAGGTACTTGGGGTCATACAAGCTTTTTAGTATCAACCGTAGCAATGTCTATTTTTCCATTCACTTCCCTACAAACCTCCCGAAAGCCCTCAACCCTAAAACCTACACCCTAAGACCCCAAAGGCATAAGCCTCAGGTTGTCCGAGAACGAGGCGGAGGCGCTGATGAACTTTGCCCGGCGCTACATTGACGCTTGGTTAGGTTTTATGGTATGGGTATTTCTCAAACCCCTATGCTACCCTTAAGATGGTCCCGAAAATCTCCCTAGAATGCCCGCACGTTTCTTGAGGTTTGTTGGGGACCTCTATTTTGAGAACTTCCCATATGATGGATGGTTGTTCCACCTTACATACTATATACCTCATACCCTGAGTGGGTTTATATTATAGGCAGGCTGATCAGTAGGTCCATGGGCAGAGTCCTTCAACTAGGGGTATCCTAAGAGAAGTTCTACAAGGGTATCTGGGAAGGTTTCAGTCGCTACGAAGCAATAGAAGCTTCAAGCAGCCCCGGAAAGGTTAGGCTGTGACGAAGCAGATATGTAGGCTGCGGGGTTTTGGCACATCGCCCTGTCATGGATGTGAGCAGCCTTTCGTGTAGATGGAGGCTGTGGGCAACTTACGAAAAGGCGTTCTTGCGGGCCCCCTTTGATCCCGCCAACTATATAACCCCAATATAAGCCTAATATAACCTTGATGTACCCCTAATATACGGACCGTTCTGTTGAGCACTGTTTCTAAGTTGGTTTGATCCCGCCATGGCACAGAGCAGAGACGAGCCGAGGCACCCAAGCAACATGCGAAGAAAAAGGACATCCAAGATGACTCTCCCGGGGGATCTCCCAGGCCCACGGCCACAGCCAAAAGTATGATAGGGTCTTTGGCTTTGGGTTTTAGCGTGCCGTAACTGCCCATGGCGAACATGTTGTTTGTACTGGATGGTTGAGGAAGATTGTTTCCGGCTAATTGTGAAGAACACTGAATGGCACAATGGGTTCCTTGTTGAGCTTCAGGGGCTCTAGTTTCATGGCGCGTCATGGTTGAATGGGTTTGCTTCTGCCGACGAGTATTGTGATACCTTATTCTGGCCTGGAAAAACTAAAGGTAGTATGTGAAGTATGTCTTGTTTCCCCTTGCCTTAATCTGCAACTTGGGGGCCATTTACGCAGCTGAGCTGCCCCACTCAAGCTTCTTGAGAGCCTGGTCCTCCTCAGCAACCGTCCACACTGAACCGCACAATCACGTGCTTTCCTGCAAGTTTGACTGCGTACACAGTTTAGCCAGCGTGCCCGGAAGGTTCATTGTGTTGCCTGGGAGTGGTGCTTGCGATCCATTGACGGAATTGTAGTTACACAGTAAGCTTGATCGGCGTTGAGGTCTCCTTCGCCAAAGAGCTCTTGGCACAGCGGACTGCGCGTGGCTGCGCCCTGCCCGGCATTTACATTGCTAGCTCTTTCTGCAGGTGTGCATGGGCTGAGCTCAAAGCTGTTCATGTTATGAAACCAGTACGATTCCTGTAACGTCCGCAGCAGCAGATATAGGTTTGAACTAGAGGGCACCCAACTCGGATGGCCGTGAGGTGCCCTCTTAGGATTCAGGATGATGCATAGGGATACCTGTGCCAGTCGCTCATGCCCGTGAGAGGGCAAGGTCCCTTTGCCAATAGTGTTTCTGTCAGAATTCCCTCATGCGGCGTATCTACTCCTGTCCAATGAGTTACAGCGACTGTGCATTTCCTACACAACCTTCTCGTAACCCTGCTGCCGAGGCCCTATAAACCTTAACCCCTGGGCGTTCTCCGTATTCCCTCAGGCTACGCTGACATGTCACAAAGCTGTCTTGGCTGAACCGCCGCCTCCGCGGGATGTGCCGGTCTCACAAAGGTTTAGGGTTTGAGGGCTGAGGGATTCTTGAATGTGTCTGAGAAAGCTGCGAGGCATCCGCGTCTAGTACTGTAGAGGTCTTGGGATTTCCAGTCTGTGGGCTTGTAGGGACTGCACAGGTATTTCCAAACATGGGGATTTACTAGGGGCTCCGTCTCGTGGGTCCTCATGAAGCATGTTTCAGCGGTTCCTGTTGGTGGCTATACTTGTTGACAGTGAAACGTGAAGGTTTTATGGGGGCGAACGGAAAGGGCCATGCTGGAACGACGCAGGGTCCTGTTGAGCTGTTCATTTCTCTTCCATTCCCTCACATATGGGGGTTTCCTAAAATTA